AGTAGTATTATAGTAGTAGTATTAGTATAGTAGTAGTATAGTAGTTTAGTATATAGTATAGTTAGTATAGTATAGTTAGTATAGTATAGTAGTATAGTGTATAGTTAGTTAGTTTAGTATAGTAGTAAAAGTATAGTATAGTATAGTAGTTAGTAAGTATAGTATAGTATAGTATAGTAGTATGATATAGTAAGTAGTATATAGTATAGTAAGTAGTTAGTATAGTTTAGTAGTATAGTATAGTAGTAGTATAGTATAGTAGTATAGTATAGTAGTAGTATAGTTATAGTTAGTAGTAGTATGTATAGTATAGTATAGTAGTAGTATTATTAGTAGTAGTTAGTATTATAGTATAGTTTAGTATAGTATAGTAGTAGTATAGTAGTAGTATAGTATAGTAGTAGTATAGTATAGTATGTATAGTATAGTAGTAGTATAGTAGTATAGTATAGTAGTAGTATATGTAGTGTTATAGTAGTAGTGTATAGTAGTAAGTATAGTAGTAGTATAGTTAGTAGTAGTATAGTAAAGTTTTTTAGTATAGTATAGTAGTAGTATAGTATTAGTAGTATAGTATAGTATAGTATGTATAGTAGTAGTATAGTATAGTTATAGTATAGTAAGTTAGTAGTATAGTAGTAATAGTAGTATAGTATAGTTGTTAGTAGATAGTATAGTAGTAGTATAGTATTAGTAGTAGTAGTATAGTATGTAGTAGTAGTAGTAGTAGTAAGTAGTAGTAGTTATAGTTATAGTGTAGTATAGTATAGTTTATAGTAGTATAGAATAGTAGTATAGTATAGTATTTAGTAGTAGTATTAGTATAGTTAGTAGTTAGTATGTAGTAGTTAGTATATGTATAGTAGTATAGTATAGTATAGTATAGTATAGTAGTAGTTAGTATAGTAGTAGTATAGTAGTAGATAGTATAGTAGTGTATAGTATAGTAGTATAGTATAGAGTAGTATATATATAGGGTTGTATAGTAGTAGTATAGTATAGTAGTATGTAGTAGTATAGTAGTAGTATAGTATAGTATGTATAGTTTAGTATAGTAGTAGTATAGTATAGTAGTAGTATAGTAGTAGTGATAGTAAGTAGTTAGTGTATAGTAGTATAGTATAGTAGTATAGTATAGTAGTGTATAGTATAGTTAGTATAGTTAGTATTAGTATGTAGTTAGTATAGTAGTAGTATAGTATAGTAGTAGTAGTAGTATAGTAGTTAGTATAGAGTAGTAGTAAGTAGTAGTATAGTATAGAGTAGTATAGTATAGTAGTGATAGTTATGTAGTAGTATAGTATAGTATAGTATTAGTATAGTATAGTATGTATAGTATAGTTAGTATGTATAGTATAGTGGTTAGTATAGTATATAGTATAGTATAGTATAGTAGTTAGTATAGTATGTAGTAGTATAGTATTAGTTAGTAGTAGTTTAGTAGTATTAGTTATAGTTGTAGTAGTATAGTATAGTAGTAGATATAGTATAGTAGTATAGTATAGTTAGTATGTTAGTATAGTAGGTATAGTATATGATAGTAGTAGTATAGTATAGTTAGTTAGTAGTATAGTAGTATTGTATAGTATGTAGTAGTTAGTATGTAGTAGTAGTATAGTAGTAGTTAGTATAGTAGGTTTAGTAGTAGTAGTATAGATAGTGGTAGTTATTAGTATGTAGTAGTATAGATAGTAGTATAGTATAGTAGTAATAGTATAGTAGTTAGTAGTATAGTATAGTAGTAGTTATTTAGTATAGTAGTATAGTAGTAGTTAGTTAGTATAGTAGTAGGTAGTATAGTATAGTAGTAGTATAGTATAGTAGTAGTATAGTAATGTAGTAGTATAGTATAGTAGTAGTTAGTAGTATAGTATAGTAGTAGTATAGTATAGTGTATATTGTAGTAGTAGTATAGTTAGTGTATAGTTGTAGTATGTAGTATGTATAGTATAGTTTAGTTAGTTAGTTTTTAGTATAGTAGTAGTATGTTATGTAGTTATAGTATAGTAGTATAGTAAGTAGTATATAGTATATGTAGTTAGTAGTAGTATTGTATAGTTTATAGTAGTAGTATTAGTATAGTATAGTAGTAGTTAGTATGTAGTATAGTATAGTAGTAGTTAGTATAGTAGTATAGTGTAGTAGTATTAGTATTAGTAGTATATAGTAGTAGTATAGTATAGTGTAGTATAGTTAGTAGTATAGTAGTAGTATAGTATAGTAGTATTAGTAGTAGTATAGTATAGTATAGTATAGTAGTTGTAAGTAGTAGTATAGTATAGTAGTATAGTTAGTATAGTAGTAGTAGTATTAGTAGTTTAGTAGTAGTATAGTATAGTAGTAGTATAGTATATAGTATAGTATAGTATAGATGTAGTAGTTAGTAGTAGTAGTAGTATAGTATAGTAGTATAGTTATGAGTATAGTATGTTAGTAGTAGTATAGTATAGTAGTATAGTATTAGTAGTAGTATAGTATAGTAGTAGTATAGTATAGTAGTGTATGTATAGTAGTATAGTATAGTAGTATAGTAGTATAGTATAGTAGTAGTATAGTATAGTAGTATAGTATAGTATAGTAGTAGTATAGTATAGTAGTAGTACAGTATAGTAGTAGTATAGTATAGTAGTAGTTATAGTAAGTGGTGTATAGTAGTATATAGTAGCATAGTATAGTAGTAGTATAGTATAGTAGTAGTATAGTATAGTAGTATAGTATAGTAGTATAGTAGTAGTATAGTATAGTAGTATAGTATAGTATAGTATAGTAGTATAGTAGTATAGTATAGTAGTATAGTAGTAGTATAGTATAGTATAGTAGTATAGTATAGTAGTATAGTATAGTAGTAGTATAGTATAGTAGTATAGTAGTAGTATAGTATAGTAGTATAGTATAGTAGTAGTATAGTAGTAGTATAGTATAGTAGTATAGTAGTATAGAATAGTATAGTATAGAATAGTATAGTATAGTAGTAGTATAGTATAGTTGTAGTATAGTATAGTAGTAGTATAGTATAGTAGTATAGTATAGTAGTAGTATAGTATAGTAGTGTAGTATAGTAGTAGTATAGTATAGTAGTAGCAGCATAGTATAGTAGTATAGTATAGTAGTATAGTATAGTATAGTAGTAGTAGTATAGTAGTAGCAGCATAGTATAGTAGTATAGTATAGTAGTATAGTATAGTAGTATAGTATAGTAGTAGTAGCATAGTATAGTAGTAGTATAGTAGTAGTATAATAGTAGTAGTATAGTAGTAGTATACTGTAGTAGTAGTATAGTGTATTATAGTGTAGTATAGTATAGTAGTAGCATAGTATAGTATAGTAGTAGTAATAGTAGTATAGTAGTAGTAATAGTAGTAGTAGTATAGTGGCAGTGGAAGTACAGTAGTAGGATAGTAGAGTATAGTAGTAGTATATTAGTATATAAGTAGTAGTATACAAGTAGTAGTATACAAGTAGTAGTATACAAGTAGTAGTATACAAGTAGCAGTATACGAGTAGTAGTATACAAGTAGTAGTATACAAGTAGCAGTATACGAGTAGTAGTATACAAGTAGTAGTATACAAGTAGCAGTATACAAGTAGTAGTATACAAGTAGCAGTATACGAGTAGTAGTATACAAGTAGTAGTATACAAAGTAGTTAGTATACAAGTAGTAGTATACAAGTAGCAGTATACGAGTAGTAGTATACAAGTAGTAGTATACAAGTAGCAGTATACAAGTAGCAGTATACAAGTAGTAGTATACTAGTAGTAGTATACAAGTAGTAGTATACAAGTAGTAGTATACCAGTAGTAGTATACAAGTAGCAGTATACAAGTAGTAGTATACAAGTAGCAGTATACGAGTAGTAGTATACAAGTAGTAGTATACAAGTAGCAGTATACAAGTAGCAGTATACAAGTAGCAGTATACAAGTAGTAGTATATTAGTATATAAGTAGTAGTATACAAGTAGTAGTATACAAGTAGTAGTATACCAGTAGTAGTATACAAGTAGTAGTATACAAGTAGTAGTATACAAGTAGCAGTATACAAGTAGCAGTATACAAGTAGCAGTATACAAGTAGCAGTATACTAGTAGTAGTATACAAGTAGTAGTATACAAGTAGTAGTATACCAGTAGTAGTATACAAGTAGTAGTATATAAGTAGTAGTATATAAGTAGTAGTATACAAGTAGTAGTATACAAGTAGTAGTATACAAGTAGTAGTATACAAGTAGTAGTATACAAGTAGTAGTATATAAGTAGTAGTATATAAGTAGTAGTATATAAGTAGTAGTATATAAGTAGTAGTATATAAGTAGTAGTATATAAGTAGTAGTATACAAGTAGTAGTATATAAGTAGTATGGTAGCAGCAGCATAAGTACAACAGTGATCAATGTAGATATAAGGTAGTGGAAAAACTAGGGAAAAATTCTGGAATAATAAGAGTAGCAGTACTAGGAGAACAGAGCAGCACTGCAAGAAGGCTTTTGGCCCATAGGCATAGGATAAAATCCCCACAGGAGAGAAACCACCAAGGCAGAAGACAAGAAAGGCAATGAAAACACAGGTGGTGATGAGGTAAGGAGGGGAGGAGGCAAAAGTCAGGTCAAATCATGATGACAGAGTACTTTATATAAAGTAGAACATGTGCTCCTGCTACATCGTTATACTTGCTGAAAAATTATTTGTAATGCAAAAAGTTTCAATTTACATGAAAGCAGGAAACACATAAGACAAGCCAAAAGTTTAAGATTGTCTACCCACCAAGCAATACTCCCTTGGGAGGAAAATGATAGTGTTTATGAATTACCTCTAAAAGCTACCAAATTTTAGAAGTTACTTTGATGATAAAAAAGAACCAAGAGAAGTGGTTTGCCATTTAAGTTATGTAGATTGCAGGATAGTTGGAAAGAAATAAAATAATTAAGGAAGGTTAAGGATCAAGACAAGAGAAAAACTGGAAAGGCTTCAGAAACATTAGCAAATTGGATGTTGTTGTATGCACCTGCATCATGGAGTCCATGTCCCAACTCTTCTGTAGGTAGATATGCAGAGAGAGAAGACAATAATAAATTCAGATATTAATTTGAACAATACTATATTATAGAAACTAAAGACAGTGTAATCACTGAAGGTGTGAGGGAAGAGACATGAACTGAGGAAGTTATCTGAATATCACTTAGTGAACAAGACTTATTAGAAGGCTCCTGAAGATATAATCATGACAGGAAGATATTAAGAATATAACATTGAATATTTCATTTGAAGCAAGCAGAAATAAAACAAATAACCTGCAGAAGCATGTTGTGTGTCAGAATGAAGGTTTACGAGTCTCACCCAGCGACTCTGTATACTGTGCAAGTTGAATGGATGTGAAGCTATCTCAAAATGTTGGCTCTGTCTTTTGAGTGTGCACATATAACAGTATAAAAAAAATATTTCTTATGGTACTGGATTAGCTCAATGTAATTATAAAAAGCTTAGTACTGCATAATTACTGTACCTATTTGTAGCAAAAGGAGCATAACTTTTTGGCTTATAAAACAACTATCACTTTGGCAAACATGCCAAGTGTACATTCACCATTGCAATAACTCGGCAAACTCAGAACAAGACAAAATTAATATTTAATTTGTTAAATATACTAATAATTAAATTTAAACTGACCTAAGATATGTTGGGTAGAATTAAGTTAAATTACATTATGTTAATTTTAGCAAGATTAAGTCAGTTTTAATACAAAATTAATTGTATGTTACTTCACAACAATGTATTTACCAATGCATAAAAGAAAGTTTTCAAAGATTAATTTCTAGGCCAGTTCAGGTTGTTTAACTGACTCTGCCCAAAAAGCACAACATACATTTATAAACAACTTGATCAACTTTAAGTGGAAAACCTAAAGTTATTTATCCTTTCCTTTCAAGAATCACGTTTTCCCACCAAAACATGCAGATATATTGCACTTAAAACATTATCAAGATGAATACTAGATATTCTGAAAACATTACGTTTTGTTACAGAAAATTTATTTTATGCACAAATTCATAATTTATTTTATATAATGAATCTCTATAATTTTGGATTTTTTTGGTTTATCCTTTGTTAATTACTGACAAATACAACTTTGAACAGGAAGACAAACGTTTTGTAATTAAAAGTCACATCATGATTATGAAAGATATATGTGTGTGTAACTGCCTATTTATAGCTATAGGAGCAGAGCTAAGCATATTTATGTGCAACTCTCTTTAATTAATCCAGGATTCATAGATGACTGTCGTATAATCGATCCTGGTTCTGATTAATCACCTTGTTTCTTGCCATAAGTTGATAAGTTTCAGTTTCTTGGCCCAATACATGTTCTGCTTCCTTGTTCTCCTCCTCACTTTCCTCCTGCCTCTCTTGGTACATATGTGGGCCCCCTTCTGTCTCGTCTCCCTCAACCGAAGTCAACCCCCAATCATGCTCGCTTCCAGAAGAGCTACCACTAAGCATGTAGTTCCTCTATCAAGCATGCAGATTAAAGTATTGCATGATAACACATCACAGTGCAGGATTGGGGGAGGGAGCGATAAGGAAAAAAAAAAGAAAAAGAAACAAGCTATAAGCAAAACAAGTTGAGAATGTATTCTATTTAAGACAAAACAAAAATTTGGTTCAAATATTTATTCATAAAGAGTATATAAACTTATCCCTTGATATATTTAATATCTTTGGAGGTGAATTTCAAAACTTTTTGAAATTAAACATTTTGAAGCTAATACAGTAGCTACACAAGCAGTGGCATGCATGCCACAATGACAAGCACAAGTTGGAGAAGATATTCCTTATGCATGCAAGCTTATTTCTCATGCATGACAAAATGATCCAGTGAAAAAGACTATGCTATTGATATACTGATTGTTCGATTGTCACCTTTAGCAATACTCTGTGCATAACCCAAAACTATGACCTGACACTACTACTATGAATCTTAGAATGACTTGCTCTGTTTTATTGTACTGCTTTTCCATATACCCATTAATGTAAGTAAAGTAATGGTTGAACGTTGGTGGATCACTGCAGAAGAAACAGAGTACAAGAGAGCGGCAAAGTTGGCATAGCAGCCACTGCTGATCAGTAGAGCACTGTAGCACGAGTCATACACTCCAAGAACTGCTAACCTGTTTGACAATGGGTCTGTCAAAAATTTGTGGATAAAAATTTGAATCATCATCGGAATCGTCATCAGTGTCAAGATGATGATGCATCCCCTGAACCTGAGATGAAGAGTGACAACAGAGTTTGAGTTGTGCTTTTAGTGAAGTATCTAATAAGAAGGCCAGTTGGTTGTACCTAAAAATAATTCCATCAACTTCAATAATCTGACTTTCCAAGCATATTATTATACCCTATCAGTAATTGTAAGGGATGCACCCCATGAGACGAATATATATGCATTATTTCAATAAAGAGAAATTCATTCCAGACCCTCAGGACTCCCATACCCTCCAGACAGAATTAATCTAACTGTTTTGGGTAAATTGTAGTAAAGGTGGGGCATCTAACAAACATGTATGCACACAAAGAAATATAATAGCATACACATGTAGATCCAAGTGACAAGCTCACAGACAATACCACAACACTGAGTTTCAATTGAGAGAGCCCAGTTCACAGATCATGACATACTAGTGTGTACAAGTTGTAAACCCATGAGCTGAAACAAGCATTGGATAAATAAAAATATGCTGACATGCAAATTTACAAATGCAAAATTCATAGATATTGGGGAGTAGTTATGTTAAAAATTCTTAAGAGTACTTTTTAAGTAAAAAATTTTTTATAAATATTGCTCAATAATGAAGTATTCTTGCTCTCCTATCCCAGTACACAACACAATAAAAACTTTATAAAAACAAAGAAGAAAAAAAAAGGTCAAACAATCCAATGATGACCATACTATACAGAACAGTGTATGTACTATACAATACACAATTTTGTTAAGTATGTAATCTGTATGTTTTGAATTTCTTAACCCTTTGACTGTTTTGGTCGTATATATACATCTTACGAGCCAGTGTTTTGGACGTACGTATATGCAGTGGACCCCGAGTTTCGTGATTAATCCATTCCAGAGAGCCTGCCGAAAGTTGAAATTGCCGAATGGCGAAACCATTTTCCCCATAAGAAATAATGGAAATAAAATTAATCCGTTCCAGACACCCAAAAATATTAAAATAAAATATTTTTTTTAAATTAAATAAAGATTTACATACTGAAAACAATGAGAAATCAAGTACATGCATATAAAAAATAATAATATTACACTTACCTTTACTGAAGACTTCTGGGTGGATGGAAGACGGGAGGAGGGGATAGGAGGAAGTGTACACTATTGTTTGGACTTCAGGTATGAAGTCCTTATCTGGGTTTACTTCCCTTCTTTGTTTTTAAAGACACTGGCACTGGGAACAACTTGAGAGTCGCTGGAACCCTGCTGCACAAAATATTTGTCCAGAGAGCTCTGTTTCTGGCGTTTCTTTAAGATTTGTCTGAAGTGGGACACAACACACTCATTGTACATGTTGCCAATACGGCCTGCAACAGCTTTGTTAGGGTGAAGTTCATCCAAGCTCTGTAACAAGCACTCCACACTCATATTTTTCAATGATTTCCTTCTTGAATTCGATCGTGTTCCTGACTTTCTTTACCAAAGGGCTTGCACTAGCTTTCCTTGGGCCCATGGTGACTTATTTAGCAGTTGCAATCACAAAAAACAATGGATTATTACGTATGAACCCGCAGGGTGGTCACGTGTTGGTAAACAATGGCACACTGAGCGTGAATGGCGTGGGTGACTGGCTTTGTGTGTGCGGTGACGAGCGGACGGGTACCAGACGGTCGCCGAATCACGAATCTAATCATGAACTGCGAGGCCAAATTTTGCCAAAAAAACTTGCCGAAAGTCGGATTTCACGAAAGTCGATGCTGCTGAAACTCGAGGGTCCACTGTATACTCAATAATTCTAGCGGCTTCAAATCAAGCAGGAGAAAGCTGGTAGGCCCACATGTAAGAGAATGGGTCTGTGTGGTCAGTGTGCACCACATAAAAATAATCCTGCAGCACGCAGTGCATGAGAAAAAAAACTGACATTTTTTTTCGATTAAAACGCCGACTTTGAGATGTATTTTCGTATAGTACTTATCGTTGTATTCTCGTTTTCATGGTCTCACGTGATAAAATGGAAAAGATATTGCAGAAAGAGAGATGATTTTGATTAGTTTCACGATGAAAACGACCTTGAAATTGAGCTCAAAATAGCGGAAATGTTCGATTTTTACCAATGTTCAAGTGTAAGCAAATCACACCACACATCTAATAAACGTTAACTGGGGAGTCTAATATTCTTTCACTAGTGCACTGGTATTATTTATACCATTTTTACAATAATGCAGTAGTCTGCATAACAGTAAATTTTGTATTTTTTGTATGAATAAAAAATCAAAATAGAAAGCAATAGTAATATAAGAGGGGCCTAGATACATGACTAATGAACAGAGGATATGTTATTTTAGTGCCAAGAATGTCTATATTGCTTATTCTGGACCCTATTTTGAAATTTGCATCTCTTTTAATTTGCATGAAATTGGCCAAATTGCCAAATTCTGACCACTTTATTGGGTAGTTCAAATCGGTAAATGAGCGGTTTCTTGTACTTAAGTGATAGAAAAAAATGGAGTTCTAAAGAAAAAGCTATGAGTTTGGTCAACTGGAACAATGGAATTGGCCAAAAACAGGGCTCATATTCGGCAAAATCACTGATCCATATATGACACTGAGACCACTAACTTCGCGGGAGCATAATTCCGTGAGTTTTCAACCAAATTTCGTACTTTTGGTGTCATTACCATCAGGAAAATATTCTCTATCATTTCATAAGAAATTTTTTTTTTTTTTTTTCCAAAAATTTTGTGACACAGAATGACAGTTTCAGAAAGGGGCTTGCGACAGTCAAAGGGTTAAAATCCTTAGAATACAATAAAGCCATTAGAACCTTAAACATGCTCAGTACAGGCAAACCATAACAAAACTAATGCAAAGCAAATAAGAATCTTCTCACCTACACAAAGTCGCTTTTGTTTAGTCAAAATTGCTGTGAAATATTGTACTATCACTAAATCAACTTAATTTCTTAATAGGAAAAAATAAAAATCTACCAAAATATTTGTTTGATACGGGTATTGTAGTAGGGTGTATTTATTTTTTTTTTTTTAAGAAATTCCTTGCAAACAAAAACCACCAATTGTACAAATTAATATAGGTGCAGTAGACTGCCAGGTTTCACACAGGTTATGTTCCTGAAATCAGAGCTATATGTGTGAGTGAATAACTTGTAGGAAAAAAATGGGCTGCATTCCATGACTTCTCTAAAACAATTTTTTTTAATACCTAACTCATTAAATTATTATTATTATAAAAAAGAAACTCTAAACCCATTAGGGTCCTAACTCATTAAAATCAATAACATTTTTGACAGTTTACAATACAGATGCTATTCCATGTTGATTTAGAGGTGTGGAAATGGTTCAGGTTGACCGACTAATCCTAGTTGGATGTAGTAAAGTTTATACACTGGAACAAGTGTACAGTAATTGACTTAAATTGAGTTGTCAAATTATAATTTATTAAATGTTCTTTATACATGCCCATGACATCCTTGTGCTGTCAAGTCCTTAGTAAAAAAAAAAAAATGCACACAGTATTTACCCAAAGCCTAAAATAATCTTGTGGTTGATGTAGTTGCTGTATATTTCTTCCAAAGAAAATGAGCAGGCTTCCTTCATGAGAGAATAGTCATAGTAACTAACACCAGGGACCATTACACTAACTCAAATTTCTCACTCTTTTTAAGATGCCCAGACTTTCATGCTTTCTTCTTCTTAGAGCCTCCAACATTACCAGTATTCTCTTTTTGTGTGTGTTGAGGATATTATCCAGGGATAAGATTAGGTCTAAAATGGAGAGTGGTGTAGCGAGTGCAAAATGGAGGGACAGTGTGGTCACTTAACTCATTCCACCACAGCTCAAGTGTGTCCTATGAAGTCTAACAACAATGGCAGCGGGGACAGCAGCTGCTGCTGCTGCTGCTGCTGCTTATTTGTTAACTCTCCGGCCATCTCCCACCAAGGTAGGGTAACCCAATGAAAATAGCACTTTCACTATCATTCACTCAATCACTGTCTTGCCAGAAAAACACTGACAATATAGTCCAGATGACCCTCCAAACTGCAACATCCTTGCATTATTTTAATTACTAATTACTTATTATATTTCCAGATCCACATGTTTTACTTTGAAAATGTCTTCATAAATAATGAACAAATTACAAATTCATAAATGATGAGATTTTCAAAATAGCAAGCATACAATAAATACTATACAAGCCCTATTATGGCATCATCAAATTAGCTTGGCAACATTTGCAACTGTCCGTGCTTTTGTAGTACTTCATCTACTGTGTGGTGAAAGGTTTTCCATCAGGTAGACTGTGTTACTAAACTCTAGACCTGGAAGGTCCACTGTTAGTTTTAAGGGTGCAAACAAATTCCAAGGCAGTGTACATATGTGCAGCTAAGACTGCTACATTATGTGGATATCTTAAATTATTTTTTTTATTTTCAGATTAACTGTGTAATCGGTGAGCAAAATGCAACTTAGCGTTAAGTTTGTCCCACACACACTGTAGTTTTATCTCGCCTGACAGCTACTGAATAAAAACTGTTTGACTCCAAATTTGACACAGTTCTTCAAATCACATTACTACAAATACTATCGCTAAGCTGCTTTCTGTCACCACAATTACAATCTTTACTTCCTTTCTCTTACAACTAATACCACATCCAATTTTTTCCAGAATTTTATGAACTGATAGAAAATGCTTTAAAATTGCCCTTTTCTCAACAGTTTTACCTGATCACCTACATCAAATTAGGAATAGAATATGAGCAAGACAGTAGATTTATATAAACAAAAAATAAACACACAAGCTACATGGCACTTACCATTACAAAACATATATATAAAGGGATTTAGAACAAAGAAAAAAAAAAAGTAGGCTTCACTTCTCACATGAAGACTTTAGTGTCAAAAAATGGTAAGCATGAAAAGAATTTACTAGCACAATGTCTACATAAAAATATAATTATTGTGCAAACAACTGTGTAAGGTATATTCACAAAAAGCACACAAGCAAGTGAATATTCAAACATGCAGACTAACATGCACAGTAATAAAATAAGACACTGTAATTGGAGATTTGAATCAAGGAAATATACAGGGCACTATGAGGCTTGAATGTTAGACAGCTAAATTCATCAATGCAATGATGATTTTTTTTATACATTAAACTTTTAAAGCAACAACTCAAGTGAGAGAAGACAACACATCACGCATATTAGACCTAATACATATTATAAAAGAAATCAGATTACCAGAAACCACTTGGTAAGGGCAATTCTATGGTTGCAGGGGTTATTCTCAGATCGTGGCCCTGGCTCTTAACTTGCCACTCTTAGATCTACTCCCTCTTAGCCCCATGGGCCCTATCATATCTGCTCTTAAAACTATGTATGAAGCCTGTCTCCACTACTTCCCCACCAAGATCATTCTCCTTAATGACAACTCAGAGACCGAAGAAATATTTCCTAATGTCATTGTGGCTCATCTGTGACTAGCTTCCAGCAGTGTCCCCCAAGCTGCAATTTTTCACTTCTCAAATACCCTATCCCTATCTACCTTATTAATTCCCAGGAGTATTTTGTATTATGTTAACATGTTTCCCTTGGTTCTTCTGCCCTCCAGTGTCGTTAGGTTCAATTCCATTAGCCTCTCCTCATAGCTTATGCCCCTTAACTCAGGAACAAGCCTTGTTGCATACATTGCACATTCTGCAGTTGCAAGATATTCCTTAGGAAAGGAAAGTTTTAACAGAAAAGGACTGACAAAATTACAAGGAATGTACAATAGACTGATCCAAGAGTAAAAAGAGAAAATTAAATAAAACACAAGGAACCTGCATAACAAGTTATAGAACAAGTTCTGCAATATATACTACACAAAAATATCAAATGGGTCATTAAAAAAATTAGGAAAAACAAAATTACAAAGAATGGTTTAACCTTTTCGCTCTTGGTAAGGTAGAATTATGTCATTGAGGCCAGGATCCCTGACGTAGTTCCATGCCATGAGCTCAACTCACTCAGAGAAGCTGCAGGCGGTAAACTTTGGCCTAGATATGAGAATGGGTATGTGCAGTGCGTTTTTTTCCGAATAAAAAAAATCCTGCCCCACACGGTGCATGATGGGAAAAACAAAACTGTCTGTGCAAATGGTTTAAAATAACAACTTAGAGGTATTTCTTGGATGGTTTTCATGGTTTATTGGCTGTTTCTTGGTATCATTTGATAGAATGAAAGACATTACTCAGACAGAGATGATTTTCATTGGTTTCAGGACTGGAAGTAGCTGGAAATTGAGCTCAAATAGCAGAAATATTCTATTTTAATCTAATGAATTTTTAATAAGTCTGATTCAATTACTGGGATGCTGTAAACCATGAACAAACTTTCCTGGTTATATTTTATTATCAGAGAATTAAGAGTAAATCTTCCATTTTTTGTGTGAACAAGATTTCAAAATGGAAAGCAAGTGTAATATAGGAGAAGCCTGGGACATGATTAATGAACAGAAGAAATGTTTTAGTGCCAGAAATGTCTATACTGTTTATTATAGACTATTTTTAAATTGGTATTTTTTTTTTGTGATGATCAAATTACCAAATTCTGATCACTTTATAGGGTAGTTGAAACAGTTGAATGGGTGGTTTCTTGTGTTTAAATGATAAAATGGAAGGCATACTAGTGAAATAGTTCAAGCATCTGGTTGATTGGAAGAATGGAATCTACTTAAAATAGGAATCAAAGTCAGCAAAATTGCTGGTGTGTAAATTGTGCCTACACAGTTCCACAAGTTTTCCATCAAATTTCATACTTTTGGTGTCATTACCTTCAGAAAAAGATTCTCTACTATTTCAGAATTTTATTTATTTTTTTTTTTTTAAGTTTTGACACAGTAAATTTTATTTCAGGGGTCTGGATGATGAAAGGGTTAACCCTTTAGGTGTCCAGACCCCCAATCTCAAGTGTCCAAGAATTTTCAAAAAGATATGTTATTTTTCTTATGAAATGGTAGAGAATCTTTTTCTGAATGTAATAAAACAAAGTACAAATTTGATGGTAAACTTACTAAATTACACATTTGCAAATTTTGCCGTCAGCAACATTTACGCATCGGTGATTTTTCCCCCACTCTGAGTCCTATTTTAGGCCAATTACATTGGAACAATCAACCAAATTCCTAGCTATTTTGCTAGTATGGTTTCCATTTTATTGACTGAGCACAAGAAACCACCCAATCAACTATATCAACTACCCAACAAAGTGATCAGAAATTGGTAATTTGGCCAATTTAATACAAATTTCAAAACAGAGTCCAGAATAAACAATGTAGGCATTCCTGGCACTAAAATAATATTTCCTCGGTTCATCAGTTACATTCCCAGGTTTCACACATGAATTCCACTTCGAATTTTTATTTACACAAAAAACCAGAAGATTTACTATTACACATTATTTCAATAATTGTATAAATAATAGCAACACATTCATGAACACATATTAGTCCCACCAGTTGGGAGTGTATTGGATGAGTGACGAGATTTATTTACTCTGGAATATCAGCAAAAAATCTAATATTTCCCCTATTCGAAGCTTAATTTCAAGATACTTCCTGTCCTGAAACCAATCAAAATCATCATCTTTCTGTAATATATCTTCCATTCTACCAAATGATAGCAAGAAACTGAGAATACAACCATAAAAACCATTAAAAAATACACCACAAAGTTGCTAATTTAAACCAAAAACATGGTTGCAATTTTTTTTCCCATTATGCACTGTGTGGGGCAGAATTTTTTTTATAATGTTCACTCTTACTGCATTGACCCATTCTCTCATATCTAGGACCAAATTTTCTGCAAAGAAAAGTATTGGAAAGCCACAAAAAAGAAAACTTGGAACCAACACAAAAAACAGGCCAACAATTAATGTAAAAAATTAAGGAAAGAAGAAATAAGAAAAACTGAAAAAAATAGTAGAAAATAGAAAATTGGTAAAATACAAACTAAATATTTTAGACAATACAATGAACAAAGTTGATGACAATTTCCAAATCAGAGGAGAACGAGCAGAGATACAAAATGTGATGTTTGTAACTGTGAATGCATGTAGAACTAAACTATCCATGCCAGATATTTTTGAGATTCCATTTCTGGCAGATATGGAAAATGGCAAACCTTGTGAAGATGTTAAAAAAAAAAAAAAAAAAGTTAAACTGTAGACTTGTCTTGCTGACATGTGTTGCTGTAAAAAAAACTGCAAAAAGCAATTATAGAAAAGTGGACAAAACACTAAGAGAGCAAAACAATACTCTTCATATAGTTATGTTTAATAAGCAAAATCCTATACATAATATTCATTAAAGTGCCACAAATTATTTAAATGACAAATTGCATAGTATTTCAATAAAAAAAAATAAGATTTTCTGAGAGTTTAACAGGAAAGACTAATTGGTGAACTACAAAACACAGGAAGATTAAAAGGAAATACTACAATGTGCAAGAGATTTTCTGTATGACATTACACATACTACATTGGTAGCATATATGGATGGAAATAAAAAGTCACAACATACATTAGATCAAAAGAGAAATACACAGCAAGAGGTAGTTATCTGTAACTCAGCTAAGAGCTAAGAAATATGAAATACAAAAAAAAAAAAAAAAAAATTAAAATAAATTGCTTGTGGGTTGATATGAGGAAAGGAGAAGACGTGATAAGCACACAAGATTAAAAGAGGATGCAAGAAAATAGATACTATTTTTAGGATTAACAGTGAGAACAAGAATGCTAATTGAAAATCAAGAAAAAAATAGTTGGAGAAAGGTACTAACAAGTTTCTCTATGTGTAGTTGTCATCCAAGAAGAGGCATTATAGGATAAGTATATAACCACAAGAAATTTCTGTAAATTAATGACAAACCAAACATAGAAGACAAGACACCAGTAGGAAATGTCTGCTCCTGTAACTACAAATAGGTAATTACACACCCACACATTCATGCGCACACACACGTGCACACGCACGCACGCACACGTGCACACACGCACGCGCACATGCTCGCGCACACACACACACACACACAAAACTTACTTTGCACCCTTTCCAAAAAAAATTATTTCTCAATACATCTTTAATACTTTGAGCTCCTAAGCATTATGGTGCTTCTAACTACTCTAGCTAATCTTACCGGTAAAGGCGTAATCTCATTTTTACGGTTAACTTCGGCAAGCGCATTTGACACAAAGTCATCCCACTGTGTGGCTTTATCCCCAGGAAGATCCTGAAATAAAATAAACATTACTAACGAGCACACATCAAACACTTCTATATAACTGTATATCTAACACTTCTATAAATCTACACATTGAAATTCTGTTAACCCACACACCTTACACAACCAGTTCTATTAACCTACACAAGTGTTATTAACCAGAACAACTCTCACATTTCTATTAACCTACACACCTCACATGTACATTCATTAACCTGCAAACCTCACATACAGTGATTAACTTACACACCTCACATACATATAGTAAACCATCATAATTTCCTCTAAAGGCTGCAGCAAAAAGGCAGCAGCTAGAGGCAGTGGAATTGCTGTTTGAGGGCACTATGTGGTGCAAATGTGATTCAGAGAATTTGAAAACTGGAGATTAGGAGGCATGGAGTTACCAAGCACATTATTCAGAGGATATTTAGAGTTTGTTGAAAGAAAAAGAAAGATTTAGAGAGGATGGAGTAATAACAGAAGAGGAGGTATAACTCTGGAATGGAGGGAAGGAAGGGTTTGGGATGTCCCAGAAAGATTGGAGGAAGGAGATAAAATTGGTTTGGAGTGGTAGGGGCTTGAATATCTAATATTAAGAGTGGACCAAGTGATTTTTATGACATTTATGAAGGGATTCAGGTAAACCAGGTAGCCAGACTAGTCCTGGAGAAAGTAAGTACACTGCCTGCACCCGGAAGGAGAGGTGGGGATGCTTTAGTTTAAAGGACCATCTGAACTATGATGTCTGCAAGCTTCTGGCAAGAGTGTAATCAGACAAGTGATGGCAAAAGTGTTTCCTCTCTTTTTGGGTCACCCTACCTTGTGAGGTTAAGAAATATTTCAGCAAAAATCTAACAAAACTCATTTGTGCACATAACTTTAGTTTTTACCTGAATTAGTCGCTTGATACGGTGTTCATTGGGGCCAAACTCAGCCTGTTGAACTATAGTGTTGGCTAACTGTCTTAGATGGCCCATGTAGCCTTTGATATTATGGATCTGTTTACTACTGCAAAATGAAAAGGACAAAAATGTCAAGCTTACTCATGTTTACATTGTATAAGTACTTCATTTCTTTACTCACATGCACAGTTTAATATAGTTTTCTTATCTCTTGGATATATTGAAAAGTTGGTTGACAAAGAAAATAAATTCACATGATTGTATTGTAGACAATATTCCTACAATTTTAATTCACAATCCAGCACAGCATACTATCTCATAATCTGAAAATAAATATTAAATTCAGAATTTTCCAAATACATGAAATGCCAAATGCCATTTCGAATAAATCATTTTATTTCAGATTTTTGCATAATAAGAGGTATGCATGTTTGTCAGATATCTTTTACTGTACAGTATAGCAGTAAGAATATTTTGACAGGAAAGATAGATTCAATTTCTATTACTGCCAAACATTCAGAATTATCTATAACTTGGACACCCCCATTTATGCACACTTCCACTTTATCTTACCCTTTGAAAGCTCACAAGATTTCAGGGCAAGAACCCCAAAGCAATTTAGTCTAAATATAAAAATGATTAAAAAAAAAAAAAGAGAGAGAGAGAGAGAGAGAGAGGGAAGATACTTACTCATGTGGCTCTGAAGGTTCTTCATAAGCTTTTACAACTCTTTCAATGATGCGACATTCAGTAAAAAGCTGAGTGAGCAAAAGGTGGTCTGTTTCCCCCTGAGGTGAAGAGGCAACTGGTGCCTTTGTTAATATAGCTGTCAGGCACTGCTCAACTTGTGTGTGTAGGAAATTATTCAACATAAATTTGAAAAATAAGTCCTGTGGAAGAAAAAGTTAATGCATTGAAAAAATAATTTATGGTTCCTTTTTAATAATACTACAATACAAAAAACATGAATTATACAAGTAAATGTATAAAAGAGGTGCCGATAATGTTCTATAATATGTATATGTGTATTGTGCAATGTGAGGAAATAAAAGTACATCTCATAATTAAACCAACCAGAAAATTTCCAACTCTGTGGGATGGTAAAACTGATGAAACTTATCCAGAACACAATAAACCTTAAGCAATAACCTATAAAACAAATTCTCGTGCATCCCCTGAATGATATCTATTCCCACGTATACATAAACTTGAAAAAAAAAAATGAAATATCTATATACATTTAAACCCCTGAAAAAAAAAAACAGTAATCACACATTTGTAAGAGATTTTCTCAACACAGTGAGTATTTCCCACCAAGGCAGGATGGCCCAAAGAAAATCAAAATATTCATTCTCTACCTGACTTGCCAGATAAGCACAGACCAAAACATCACCACCCAACCATCCATTCATCCAAGATTCTTTTTTTTTTTTTTTTTTTTTTTTTAACAAGTCGGTCGTCTCCCACCGAGGCAGGGTGACCCAAAAAAAAGAAAGAAAATCCCCAAAAAGAAAATACTTTCATCATCATTCAACACTTTCACCACATGCACACATTATCACTGCTTTTGCAGAGGTGCTCAGAATACAACAGTTTAGAAGCATATACATATAAAGATACACAACATATCCCTCCAAACTGCCAATATCCCAAGATTCTTACCAGCAAATATTCAACTGTGTTGAGTTCATAAAGGGCATTGTGGACAATGGGATCATTGGCAGCCACCAAAGCAGCTACCAAAGTCACAACCTGTAGACGAGTGCTACCCAAGGGCTCAACTTCCTGACCGTATGCAGTTAATATCAACCCTTTCTGTAAAAGAAATTAACACTACAGTATATGGAAAAAATGGACAAGTTATACGAAATATGTGAACAAACATACAAATACAATTCATTTTATGAACATGAAGTGTTGTCAGTATTGCTGTTTCCTTACTTACAAGACACCAGGGATGCTTCAAGCTCTCCACCAGCTGCCATCATTATAATGCATACACTATACTGTGTGTTTATTTACATCATATGGGACTACTATAAGAACCCTGTGATAGCATCTATATAATGCATAATTTCATTATACATTACTGTACATAGAAGTTACATGTGTGGGAAAACTTTATAGAATCTCTTTGTAAACCTTTGGTGGGTGTAGGAGAATATTGTGAAGGCTCGGCAAGCGTTTAGCAATGGTTCTTGCAACGGCATTTCTCTTTCCCTCACTGGAAACACTATTACTAGATTCTATGGACGTTGATTGTTGTGATCTGAAATTACAGAATAATACTGAAACAAGGAGCTATAGTATAATACCATATTCAAGAAAATCATTCAACTCTACCAAACCATCTCATTGTCAAAGCCTTCTTATTAGTGCTCTTCACATTTGCTTCTCTCAAACCCAATACAATAAAAGACAATTTTCTCCACATTTTTCTCACAGTAAAATACTTAGCTTTACCCTTGCTGCTGCTGCTGGATTTGCTGTTGTGTTCGGGCGGCAAGAAGAGTAAGCAAGATATTGATGACGTGGGACAGTGAAGACTCATTCCGTTCTTCATGAAGGAGCAGGTCCAGTAACTTATTTATAGTTTCTTCACTACAAAGAAAACATTTTATTTTAAAGAAACACTTTATAAAAAAGTGCATTTATTACAAGGGTTGCATGAATGGTCAAAGACCTTGAATAATGTTACAGATCTGAAGAGAAACAGCATAAAGCAAAATATTTGTACTGTAAAATACTTTTGCTTCAGTGGGTCATCGTGAAAAAAACGACTCAAATGGCAAGTCAAATTATAAATGATTTGATACCATTAAAACATAGAAAACTAAGGTATGTTAAATTTATGATACAAAACGTTTATTTATTTTTTATTAACACATCGGCTGTTTCCCACCAAGGCAGGGCGGCCCGAAAAAGAAAAACTTTCATCATTCACTCCATCACTGTTTTGCCAGAGGTGCACTTACACTACAGTTATAAAACTGCAACATTAACACCCCTCCTTCAGAGTGCAGACACTGTACTTTCCATCTCCAGGACTTAAGTCCAGCCTGCCAGCTTCCCTGAATCCCTTCATAAATATTACCCTGCTCACACTCCAACAGCATGTCAAGTTCTAAAAACCATTTGTCTCCATTTGCTCCTATCTAACATGCTTATGCATGCTTGCTGGAAGTCCAAGCCCCTCGCATACAAAACCTCCTCTACCCCCTCCCTCCAACCTTTCCTAGGCCGACTTCTACCCCGCCTTCCCTCCACTACAGATTTATACACTCTCGAAGTCATTCTATTTTGTTCCATCTTCTCTGCATGTCCAAACCAACTCAACAACCCCTCCTCAGCCCTCTGAATATTAGTTTTTTTAATCCTGCACCTCCTCCTAACCCTTAAACTGTCCAAACGTAGATCTACGTTTTTTCAACATTTGAATGTAAAAAAAAAAAAAACAGATTTTTTTTTTTTTTACATTTGAAAACGTGTTAAAAACTTTGATCTACATTTTTTTTTATATTTGAAAATATGTGGCATTTATGGATTTGGAAAAGGCGTATGACAGGGTGGATAGGGGGGCAATGTGGCAGATGTTGTAGGTGTATGGTGTAGGAGGTAATTACCGAAAACAGTGAAGAGTTTTACGAGGATAGTGAGGCTCAAGTTAGAGTATGTAGGAAAGAGGGAAATTATTTCCCAGTAAAAGTAGGCCTTAGACAAGGATGTGTTATGTCACCGTGGTTGTTTAATATATTTATAGATGGGGTTGTAAGAGAAGTAAATGCGAGGGTCTTGGCAAGAGGCGTGGAGTTAAAAGATAAAGAATCACACAAAGTGGGAGTTGTCACAGTTGCTCTTTGCTGATGACACTGTGCTCTTGGGAGATTCTGAAGAGAAGTTGCAGAGATTGGTGGATGAATTTGGTAGGGTATGCAAAAGAAGAAAATTAAAAGTGAATACAGGAAAGAGTAAGGTTATGAGGATAACAAAAAGATTAGGTGATGAAAGATTGGATATCAGATTAGAGGGAGAGAGTATGGAGGAGGTGAATGTATTCAGATATTTGGGAGTGGACGTGTCAGCGGATGGGTCTATGAAAGATGAGGTGAATCATAGAATTGATGAGGGGAAAAGGGTGAGTGGTGCACTTAGGAGTCTGTGGAGACAAAGAACTTTGTCCTTGGAGGCAAAGAGGGGAATGTATGAGAGTATAGTTTTACCAACGCTCTTATATGGGTGTGAAGCATGGGTGATGAATGTTGCAGCGAGGAGAAGGCTGGAGGCAGTGGAGATGTCATGTCTGAGGGCAATGTGTGGTGTGAATATAATGCAGAGAATTCGTAGTTTGGAAGTTAGGAGGAGGTGCGGGATTACCAAAACTGTTGTCCAGAGGGCTGAGGAAGGGTTGTTGAGGTGGTTCGGACATATAGAGAATGGAGCGAAACAGAATAACTTCAAGAGTGTATCAGTCTGTAGTGGAAGGAAGGCGGGGTAGGGGTCGGCCTAGGAAAGGTTGGAGGGAGGGGGTAAAGGAGGTTTTGTGTGCGAGGGGCTTGGACTTCCAGCAGGCATGCGCGAGCGTGTTTGATAGGAGTGAATGGAGACAAATGGTTTTTAATACTTGACGTGCTGTTGGAGTGTGAGCAAAGTAACATTTATGAAGGGGTTCAGGGAAACCGGCAGGCCGAACTTGAGTCCTGGAGATGGGAAGTACAGTGCCTGCACTCTGAAGGAGGGGTGTTAATGTTGCAGTTTAAAAACTGTAGTGTAAAGCACCCCTCTGGCAAGACAGTGATGGAGTGAATGATGGTGAAAGTTTTTCTTTTTCGGGCCACCCTGCCTTGGTGGGAATCGGCCAGTGTGATAATAATAATAATAAAAAAAAAATGTAAAAAAAAACGTAGATCTACTTTTGAAGCACTGCGCACGTGAATGTAGATCTGTTTGGACAGTTTAAGGGTTAATTTCCAAACTACGAATTCTCTGCATTATATTCACACCACACATTGCCCTCATACACGATATCTCCACTGCCTTCAGCCTTCTCCTTGTTGCAACATTCACCACCCATGCTTTGCACCCATATAATTTAAAAATAAGCTCAAAGCTTGGAAACTGAAAAAAATGGTAGTACTTTTAAGGTCAATATACATCACATTCCATAAACTGGAGAGGAAAACTGGATGAGGTTTAACTCCATTCCGAATTTGAAAACGGTCATGAATCAAGAGTAAGGTCATTCCAACTTCGTTTTCAATTCAACCTCCACCCACACCCACCCCAACACACAAAAATAAATAAAATTATGACAAACTTACACTAACCTTTCAAGAGTCAAGAGGAGTGGGTTACTTTGTGGATGGCTATCGTTAGTGACATCTCGGCAAGAGGTGCTAATTTCACACAGAATATTGTCGGCACTTGAGTGTTCTTCTGGGTCAGCTTCTGGTGATAACCGTTCTACGAGTCGTTCTATTAGCTGAGTCTCATTCAGCCACTGGGTTTTAGAGATATCAATTTCTTTATAGTGCAAAAGAATGATTTAAATAGCAAAGAATGCAATGGGGTAATAAACCATGATAAATTCTCTGCGATTTCAACAGATTAAAATACACGTGAAAACCCATCACAAAAATGTATATTTACAGAACGAAGAGTGCAGCTTTATAAAACCTCAAATAACCCTTGCAATTTATGTACAATTTAACAATAAATCAATTTTAAATTGTTCCACAATCACTATACTGGACCTCCAGGTAATTACCCAGTAAAAGTTAATACCATACTTAACCCTCATTTACTTTCACTTTTTACATAATCATGCATGGGTTTCCCCTTGATCTTATGAATTATTGCAGTTCTATTCAACAATGACAACTCAGTACATCAGCACAATCTATTTAATAAAATAGTAGGACAATATATTAAGTGTGTTTCATCACTAATACAATTACATTGACAAAAACTCTAAAGACTGTTAATGTAGTTTATGAACACCTTAAAGCCTCATTGAGAAAATTCAAACACTAAGTGATGAAAGCTTAACCAACATTAACAATAATGCCATCTCCAAACTTATCTTTACACTGTTGATATTTATGTTAACCATTCCACATGACTTGTCACTGCCTACAAGCATGGCTTTTATAAAAAAAATTATCTAAAAGCAAGAATTTACCACATCTGTATTTCACATTACTGACTGACGAACCCCTTCCCTTATCAAAAAGCTATTCACTACTTAGAACTATTTCAGTTGCTCTCTACAAAATTGTCACAAAATCCTAATCACACTGACAATCACTACATTTCTAATTTCAAGTGTTTCACAGGAGCTCTCACAATTAACATTTTATTAGTGATTCATCACAATAATATGGTTGAGACAATGATCTTTCCAATACTAACACTAATGTTACTGACATGAATATACAGTAATTAAGAAATGAAATCAAAACTCTTAATACAGTATGTTAAACTTACTCTGTTAGATTCATACGTTGCTTTATTTCACCAAGACAGCCGTTTCCCAGCAAGTTAGGGTGACCCAAAGAAGGAAACGATCATTACTCATTCAATAACTATCTTACCACAAATGAATGGACATCATAATTCAAGCAACACTGAACCAGAACACCTCTACTAAGCAATGTGTATAAAGGACAATGTACTTAACTTGAGAGGCTTCCCCTCACTATAAACAGTAAAAGTTTTCCACATCAAATTTGAAGCTTATACTTCTGGTAGCACTGCTAGTGCTGTTATCTGAGCTTAATAGTTGTAATACCTTTCTAGGGTGTATTTTCCTCAAAGACATAAAATTATAATCCATGGTGAGAATCTCTTCATAAGCAGCAGTCAAAGTCTCTCTAACATTAAGAATAATCAACATGTTTCTTTGAGAGGATAGAGCAGAACAGGATGATCAAGAGGGTATATAAAGCTGTGTAAGGAAGGGGTTAGAGGGAGGAAATAGAGGGAGGTGATGAAGGTGGTTTCAAGTGATAGGTATTTGAGAATGCAGCATGTGAGAGCATGTTAGATCAGTCTGATGTTATGCTGGAGTGTGAGTAAGGTAACATTTATGAAAGTAATGAGGGGAAACCAAGTAGTCAGACTTGAACACTGGTAGTAGTATATACAGTGCCTGTATTATGAAGAAGTGGGAATACTGCAGCTCATAGGTTCATTTAAATTGTGTCTGCATTCTTCTGGTAAGACATCTGTTGAATGAATGATGGAGAATGTTTCCTTTTTTGGGTCACCCTACCTTGGTGGGAGACAGCCAGTGATAAAAAAAAATGTTCACTTATTGCACATTTGCATACAGACTGGAGTCAATGTGGATAGACATTGTAATGCCTTAAAAAGCACTGGTCACCTTAACCTTTTCAGGATTGGTGCTGTACTAGTACGGCTTGCACGCTAGGGTTGGTGCCGTACTAGTATGCGTAAATTCTAGTGTCTTCAAATCTAGCGAAAGCTGGTAGGCCTACATATGAAAGAATGGGTCTATGTGGTCAGTGTGCACAGTATAAAAAAAAAATACTGCAGCACACAGTGCATAATGAGAAAAAAACACCGACCGTGATTTTGGTTCAAAACAGCAATTTTGCACTGTATTTTCGTATGGTACTTATGGATGTATTCTAGTTTTCCTGGTCTCATTTTATAGAATGGAGAACATATTACAGAAATTGAGATGATTTTGATTGGTTTCACAATGAAAAGTACCTTAATATTGAGCTCAAAGTAGCAGAAATGTTTGATTTTTGCCAAAGTTCAAAAGTAAACAAATCATGCCATGTGTCCAATACATGCCAATTGGCGAGTCTAATATTCTTTCACAGGTGCGCTGATATTATTTATACCATTTCTATACTAATGCAGTAGTCGGCATAACAGTAAATCTTCTATTTTTTTTGTGAGAATAAAAATTCAAAGTGGAAAGCAAAAGAAATGTACGAGGGACCTGGGGACGTGACTAATGAACAGAAAAATTTTTTATTTTAGTGCCAGGAATGTCCGTCTTGTTTATTCTGGAACCTATTTGGAAATTGACATCTTTTGAAATTTGTGTGAAATTGGCAAAATTACAATTTCTGACCACTTTATTGGATAGTTGAATCGGTAAATGGGTGGTTTCTTGTACTCATTTGATAGAAAAAGTGGAGTTCTAGCAAAATACAGTAGTTATGATTTTTGTCCACTGGTACATTGGAATTGGCCAAAAATAGGGCTCAAAGTGGGCGAAATTGCAGATGCGTAAACATCGTCGAGACCGCTAACTTTGCGAGAGCATAATTCCGTAAGTTTTCAATCAAATTTCATACTTTTGGTGTCATTATGATCAGAAAACCATTCTCTATCATTTCATAAGATTTTTTTTTTTTTTTTAAATTTTCGACCCTGAGAACAAGTTTAGGAGAGGGCCTCTCGACCCTCAAAGGGTTAAAAAAATACTGGTCAACTTAAAAAATACTGGCCTCCATTTTAATTCTGAATTACCAAAAACAGCCTCTTCAACCATTGCATCCTTTTTTTTTTTTAGTTGTTAATACAGGTTCTAATAATCTGATGAACCACTGTCCATTTATAAGTGAATTTATTCTCAATATACAGTAAACCCTAGATACACTGGACTAAAGAGAGGATTGTTCGAGTACCTATTAAATCAATGTTAAAAAAACAGAAAATAAAATGTACAAATATTTTAGATATACTGTACTGCAATAAACACTGAAAATAAAGGAGTTAAAAGTACAATTTACTCAGTGGATTTTGCCTTTAACGCTTTGAGGATTTCGGCCGTACTAGTACGGCTTACGACCCAGGGTTTTTGACGTATTAGTACACATAAATTCTAGCGCCCTCAAATCTAGTGGGAGAAAGCTGGTAGGCACGCATATGAAAGAATGGGTCTATGTGGTCAGTGTGCACGGTATAAAAAAAATCCTGCAGCACACAGTGCATAATGAGAAAAAAAAAACTTTGACCGTGTTTTTGGAATAAAACAGCGACTTTGCACTGTATTTTCATATGGTATTTATTGTTATATTCTAGTTTTCTTGGTCTCATTTTATAGAATGGAAGACATATTACAGAAATTGATATGATTTTGACTGCTTTTACAATGAAAAGTACCTTGAAATTGAGCTCAAAGTAGCAGAAATGTTTGATTTTTACCAAAGTTCAAAAGTAAACAAATCATGCCAAGCGTCCAATACACCTCAACTGGTGAGTCTAATATTCTTTCACAAGTGCGCCAATATTATTTATACCATTTCTATACTAATGCAGCAGTCTGCATAAGAGTAAATCTTCTATTTTTTTGTAAGAATAAAAATTGAAAGTGGAAAGCCAAAGAAATATAAGAGGGGCCTGGGGATGTGACTAACGAACAGAGGAAATGTTATTTTAGTGCCAGGAATGTCTTTCTTGTTTATTCTGGACCCTATTTGGAAATTGGCATCTTTTGAAATTTGTGTGAAATTGGCAAAATTGCTAAATTCTGACCACTGTATTGGATAGTTGAAATCAGTAAATGGGTGGTTTCTTGTACTCATTCAATAGAAAAAATGGAGTTCTAGAGAAATAGTTATGATTTCTGTCGACTAGTACACTGGAATTGGCTGAAAATAGGGCTCAAAGTGGGCAAAATCACCATGAACAACTGGGTATCTCACTGCAAATCAAATTTTTTGCCATCCTAATTGGGCTTGTTAATTTATGACAATGAGCTTGAATCTATGATTATTACTGATTCTATGTCATCACTGAAGGCTCTGACTCACATAATGACTAACATGCTCAAAAATCCTGGAAAAAGGAATTAATGTACAATTGTTATAGTTTTCATCACACATTGGACTGCTCCTTCCTGATGAAGTTGCTAAGTTTGCCAAAAAAAAAAAAAATGTACCCTGAAGGCAAATGTAAAACATAACTTTGGTGTCTCTCTCTCTCTAGCAATAGGAATAACATTAGGAGATAATTAAATAATGAAACTGTTATAGAAATGCAGTTAGAAGCCTGAGTAGATCTATCACCCACTATGATAACATGAACAAAGATGGGTACATTTATGGAGCAACAAGCAATGTGAACACTGACTGATATTGTAGTAGCCAGGCTTAGGCTTGGTTAAAAGCACTTCTAGCAGTTTGGCACACACAGATGATGATCAAACCAAACGTAAAGTATATGAACAGCCCTAAAGTTACTTTTTTGAAGACTATGTGCTTTATTGTCCTCTTTTTGAGGAATAGATGGTATAATAACCTATGTGATATGTAAAGATATATAAAGCAAATTTCCTAAATTTGCTTGCAACAGGTAAGTCAACTGTAGATATAAATCCACTTGTACTCCTGTTAACCCTTTTAGGGCCTAGTTCCTTGGCATTTTGTGTATCTATATGCTCTTGTGCTACCCTCCCAAGGATGGACGTGGGGTGCACAATAAACTAGCCACTTCAGCGGCAAAATCTAAATGTAATTATTACAGTGAAGGTTTACTGTATGATCAAAGTTTTCATTTTCATTACACATTCAAAAATGTTGAAAAACTGTAAATATTGTATTTATTAGCTCACACAGTAAACCTGAACTTGTCAGAGCTCTGTAACAAGCCTTACTCTGTAGAAAACTTGAAGATAAAACATGTCATGCATTTCTGGGTGCATAATGTCAGCAATTCTTGTGCCAGATTACTTTGGAAATGATTCAAAGGTGCATATCAGAAATATCAATATCAAGAAGGCAGAGCAATGTTAATTTAAATATCAGTATTATTCTAAATCAACATCTTGCTAAAAATGCTGCAAAAATTAGTGAATAAAAAATAGAGAAGTTGCACACATGTATTTAAATGTAACAAGTCAATGTTGGCATAAATTTCAACTGAATGCTCATTTGAACTTACAAAAATTATACATGCATGATTCTGCATAAAGCAAAAATAGTGGCTATTATGTGCATCTTCCCTACCTAGCTTTTAAAAAAATTATATGGCCTATCACTATCCTGCATGAAATACATTATCAACTTTTTAAAAGAAAGCTAAAATTAAAAATGCAGTAAATACAGTAACAGCAGAACTGCCTAACTCTGCAGTTCCAAGAAGACTACTCATGAAATGTATTCCAATAATACAGTAATGCAATTTTGTACATAAAGCAGTGAATGACTTAATGAATACACAACAGTAACGTTTACTGTCCCACCCCTTCTCAGAATCCATGAAGAAAGTTTGGTGCTTGAATTGTGGGGGACGACTGACAAAGACAGAATGCGAAAGCTAACAGTAGTCCTTAAGTCACTGCAGGAAGGTAGAACAAGACAGGATATGACTGCAGCATACAAAATACAAGACTCAAAAACTAGGAAGGAAGAGGAGCTGAAGCTTACCCCTACACACCCTATACATAATCACAAATACACTAGGCAAGTATAAAAGCCACATGTTTAAAAATAAATTTTAGGGAATATATCTAAATATGTAAACTGTACAGACCAGTACAAATTAACACAACACTGATATTTGCTAAGCAGAATAACACAAGTATTATGTGAATCTGTTACCCATCTCACATTTCACACTGCATAATTCAGGTTAGCTGGAAAAAATATATATATATAAAAAAAAAATTCCTGACGAGTAATTCAGTGATAATGCTAAAACAAGAAAAACAATAAGAAGTTTGTAACTAAAAAAAGCTTCAGTATTAAGTGAAAGTGCACTCAAGTGTACAAAGCCAACACTTACTTGGTGAACACTTTGACGGATCTCATCCTCCTCCACATTACAGATAAGTCTGAGTATCAAATCCATTATCGCTGAGGTCCCCACATGTTGCACAGCCAGCTCAACAAAATCACCTTTGGATTTTAAAAAGTCCAATACCTGGAAGCAAGTGAACTGATAGGAATACCAGTTCTACAGAGAAGAGAAGAGAATACACTTTATAAGAATGTGTCAAGACGAAGTTTATTGTCAGCTTACAAGTCAGGCCTTCTTCTTTCAACAGAGAAAATATGAAGCATTACAAGTTAAAAATTTATTATTTATTGCAATCACCATTTGCTGAACATCAGAGCAGCAAAATGTAGGATATACTTTTAAGTGGATCATGCCACTGTGACTGCAAAATAAAACTGAAGAACACAATTTCCAAACACCTTAACTTGTATCTTTAAAATATTTTTATGACAATCTATGTAAACCATTTAAACTTAGAAAGACAACTGAATTTACTTTAATATTCAATTCTTAAAACAAGACAATTTTACACTTACACACACACTTACACACACACTTACACACACACACACACACACACACACATAGGTGAGTACAACTAGGTGAGGTGAGTACACACATACACATACACACACACACACACAACACACACACACACACACACACACACACACACACACACACATACACACACACACACACATACACACATGCACGCACAAACACACAATGCACGCACACACACACACCCGCCGCGCGCGCACACACACAACGCACGCACACACGCGTGCGCGCACACACACACACACACACACACACACACACACAGAGTAGTCAGGAAGTGGAATAGTTTGGGAAGCAATGAAGTGGAGGCAGGATCCATACATAGCTTTAAGCACAGGTATGATAAAGCTCACGGCTCAGGGAGAGTAACCTAGTAGCGACCAGTGAAGAGGCAGGGCCAGGAGCTTGGACTTGACCCCTGCAACCTCAACTAGGTGAGTACAACTAGGCGAGTACACTTACACTTACACACTTACTACTGTACTGTATTAAGTTTACCAGATTTTGTCAGAGAGAGACTTACAGCAAACAATTTAAATGTTTAAAAGTCAATGCTGGTATTTTATTTGCAAGATTTCAAGCTTACAAAACAGCATATCTTAACAATAATAATTTTAAAATGTATCACATATACTGTACTGGTGAAAAGAAGAAGACCTCTCCTGTTGTGTGTGAGTGGGAGGGCGAGAGTCTGACCAACATGAAGAGCAGGCCATCTAACGCTCAGTACTCCAAGTCAGCCACAAGCCCTTCTTAATTTTAAAACTGTCAAGCCAAAAGTATTGCAAGGATAGGCATGGCCAGCCTCTACCAAACAAGACTTTTCAAGACAAGAAAAATGCTCTAGCACAGGTTTACGCAGTATGTACAGTATATGAGTGAAAGTGTAAAATAAACCATAAACAGAGGCTAACAAATGCAAAAATATTTATAAATATATTCACCATGAGGTGATAAAATTTAAATGCATAAAGATTGTCTTTAAGAAATGTCTTGTAAGCACGGGCTATTTATGATCACCTTAAAGTGATCATTCTATCCCTACAAAGGCTATACTGGGGCAGGGGCTGACCATTTGTTTACTGAAAAAGTTTTGGAGGAATGGAAGCAAGAAGGATTTACCTACTTCCACAGTCACCAAAAATAGATGGAATGCACCTGCAGTTCATTACAGATCATAAATTACACAAAATTCAATATTCCTCAACAAAAGCTCTATTCACTAGTTTGATAACAAATAACTAACAAAACTAAGAGCTTGCATAATGAGCAAGAAATATATTATTTGAATGGCTCTGGTAAAAGAAGACTGTACTGTCTAATTTTTTCTTAATTCAACTCCATTTACATTTATTCTTTGTTGCAAGCTGAAACAGACACCCCCTTATGGATGTACAATATATGTATGTACATACCAATCAATACTGCTTGATGAAATGTTGCTGAAAGAATTCTCAAAAAGTTTTAGAACTTTATACTGTACATGAGATAAGAAAGAATACCATATTCATTATTCTTTAAAGTGCATGACTTGAAAAAAAAAAAATACCAATCTCAGCTACTAGAAAAATAACTACTAAGAAAATTATAAAAAGTATGGTTTAATCTTCTAGATGGCTTGGCAAAGCTTAACCCTGAGCGAGAGTCAAAATAAAAGATTGCTCGACATATTACCTTGTACAAATACTTCTCTGCATTACGTTTCTATATCTATTATATTAAATGAATCCCTTTTCTATAAAACTAAATCAGCTAAATAATCTTAGAGCTACTGTATATGCAAATGTTGTACAGCAATTCATCTAGAAAGCTACTGCAGGATTATATATTAATAAAGATATGGAGAAATAAATATCGAAGGAGTGTCTCTACCCCTTCAGCCTACTGAAAAAAGTACTGTACAAAGTATCCAGAAACCTACATATTTACAAGTATGGCACATTAACAAGAAATTTAGAAAAAATTTTTTAACCAATAGATTTAAATCATCTGAACATACATTACAACGACATATTAATAAGCTCAAATATTTAACGACATCAAGTCAATAACACTTAAGAAGAATTAGACACTATCCTTCCAACACAAATCAGTAATTTCTAATTACTAAATATTAAATACATATTACTGAATGATACAGCAATTCCTATTTCATCTTAAAAACTGGGATGACTTGTGTAAAAAGTAAACCTGCTTACTAAATACTGGACAAGTAGTGTAGTCGAAGTTTAGTCACATAATTAGACACGTACTGACCTTGTGAAATTGCTGATTAATTACAGCCACACACACATGACCTTCCACTTGTTATGTCTTTCAGTTAATCTTAAATAAAATTAGTTAAATAATTTTATGGGAAACAAAATTTCATGGAAATTCTGAGCTATAGTCTTCTAAATGAAGAGAAATGTAAAGGAAGCTGATATACAAACAAACAACTCATAGTACAGTAATGTGCATGAGTTTGGTAGTAAGGTAAATAGAGAAAGAATAAGACAGAATTAAATATGAACATTAGGTCAGTAAACCTTTATTTCCCCTTCCCCAATATCTTCCCCAAGACAACAGCTACAAGGAAAATATCAATCAGTTTCTTTTCTTTGGCAACATTCACAATAAAAAAACAATGTTCTACTGTACTACATACTTTACATAACTTGCTAGATAAAAGTTATGGCTCTTATTTTTTAATGCAAGTTCAATTAAAAGTAAGACTCGAGCAACAGTTTTTTATATCCTTCGCTAATGTTCACATTTCCAACCACGACTTCAAACAGAGCAATAAAAAATCATGGAATACACAAGTAAGTTTCTGAAGTTTTAACCAAGCACATACAGCAATGGTACTTGATTTTTGTCTTTTTACTACACTACCCCTGAATATACATATTGAACAACCCCCCATCCCCCTTCATCCTTATTAGGTTTTTAATACATTTCTTATCATTAAAGTACATTGGTCTCCCTCTAAAATCACACCCACAAAATAGGCCATCCCTTGAACTTTAGGAAATCCTTCAACCGTCTAGGAAGTGATACACACCCATTCTTCAGAATTTCATTGGGTAAAATCACCCATGACTCACAGATAGTATCCTAAAGCTACAGAAGTGGGAAGATATCCTTCTCCTAGTAGATATCTCTTTCAGCCCAGATATTCTCAATACGGTTTACATCAGAGAAATTTTCTGGCCAGTCATCAAAGCAGGGTGCCTCACAGTCACGAAGTCACTGAACAACAGATTTCATGGTGTGACAAGGAACACCGTTTTGTATAAAAACCTTGCACCACACTGAGTGAAAGACTTGAGCAAATGATAACAGACAAATTATATCTATATTTGTATAGTAAATGTTAGTGGGGACATTTTACTGGACTTCTCTGGACATGCTTCTGGTGTGAGCATGTCACACTGTCCTCAAGGAAATGACAAAGCCAGGTCCTCACTGGACACTTGCACACATTGCTGACTTCTACTATTTCCTTTGTTTGATGGCCTGCTTTGTGTAATCCAATGACCTCTGGAAGTGTCTCGAGTCAGACTTGCTGCTGCCCACATTAATTCATCGATAGATAAAAATGTCCAAAAAACTCATCCCTCAAATCATCATCATGCAAGGGGACCACAGACACAAAACCATCAACCTCACAAGCCCAGAAGGCACTTAATATGTAGATGGTAGCCATAGGAAATCCTTGTTGATATTAAATTATGTCTATAGTGCCTTCAGCCCATCATATTTTAGTAACAATACATCATTCATCACTACATATTACCATGAGCCACAAAGCGACTCATGGTTTCTCCACAGCTTTACAGTGAGGGAACTACCCAATAGATCATATCATCTTATGATTCCCAAAGACTGAGGAACCAAATGTAAGACTAGACAGATGGCTACCTGCTGTACTCCAATGATAATGAAGGGCTATCTATACCAGGATGGATAGACAGACATCTCAAACCTTAGTTAATGTTATTAAAAGCCTTATGTAAACTGGGAAATTAACAGGTGAATAAAGATCACTTTATAGTTCCTCATAGCAAAAATAAAGGACTGCATATCATGTGAAAACCTCTTACAGTACCGAGGAAAATATATACCAGAAAACCAGATAACGAAAATCATGCTGTACATTAATTCGTTAAACAAAATCACCTTAATGAAACATACAAAACACAAAACAGGAAGTTGCATGAACACAGATACAAAGTGAATATGAAGCATAAAATAGAATTGGATACACCTAAAGACAGCATAATGAACAAGCTATTACATATACACAAAGTTTAACAGGATAAGAACAATAAGAATTAATGAAGGCTAAAAAATGGAAATCTAGGGACAGAATGTGCATGACACATTGAGAGTTACATAACTGCTCTTCCATATGTGGGACTGTACAAAGATTAAAAAAGTGGGAATAAGATGCAAGGTGAACTTCTAGTTAATAGGCTCAACTTGACACAAATACAAAAATGAAAATACAAATACAAAATGAAGAGATAAACATGCAACTTGTAACAGAAAAAGCAAAAGAAAACTAATACAGTAAACCCTCCACATTTGCAGTTTGTCATTAAAAAAAACCCTGTTATTTGCAAATGCTC